ACTCCCCCTCCCATTCCTCAGACGACATGTCCATCCTGGGCCTCCTGCAGTGCCACAACGATGCCACCCGAAGGTTGCAGGAACAGCAACTCATATTCCGCTTGGGAACCCTGCAGCCCAATGGTATCAATGTGGATTTCACAAGTTTCAAAATCTCCCCTCCCCCCACCGCATCCCAAAACCAGTCCAGCTCGTCCCTGCCTCCCTAACCTGTTCTTCCTCCCACCTATCCCCTCCTCCCACCTCAAGCCGCACCTCCATCTCCTACCGACCAACCTCATCCCGCCCCCTTGACCTGTCCGTCCTCCCTGGACTGACCTATCCCCTTCCTAACTCCCTACCTACACTCACCTTTCCTGGCTCCATCCCCGCCTCTTCGACCTGTTTGTTTCCTCTCCAGCTATCCTCTCCTCTATCCCTCTTCTATCCACCTCCCACTCTCTCCCCATTTATTTCAAAAACCCCCTCCCCCCCCTTTTCTGATGAAGGGTCTAGGCCCGAAACGTCAGCCTCTCTGCTCCTATGATGCTGCTTGGCCTGCTGTGTTCATCCAGCCCTGCACCTTGTTCCAGTTTTTCTCGGCGTGAAGGGTCCGATGTTAGTTTTCCTTCTTGCCCTATTTATCCAATGTGCGGACCCATTGACGCGCGTGGTTCTACGGTCATGAGGCACGTGGCTGATGGGAGGCAGGGCGGGAAAAGCGGGGGAATGAGATCTCGCGATAGGTGCTGCCTTTGTTCACGCGGCTCTCCTTCCGATGTGTACGCGCGCGCGCGGGGGCGGGCGTTTGCGCAGGCGCAGGTAGGGCAGCTCGAGCAGCAGTAGCGGCGGCCCTGGTTGGGGGGGCGGGTAGAGAGAGAGGTTGTTTCGCTTGCTTTGTGCTGGCGGCGCTCGGCCTTTCCACAATTCACCATGTCCGGCAGGTCGGTGCGGGCCGAGACCAGGAGCAGGGCCAAGGATGACATCAAACGGGTTATGGCAGCTATCGAAAAAGTACGGAAATGGTAAGGGGTTATTTTAAAAACAAAACCAACAAAACAACGGGGATAAGATTTTAAAAGGTCGGCGTTTCCCTCTCGGTCGTTGAAGAGAGAGAAGAGGAGGAGGTGGTTGTGGGGGAAGGAGATGACTTGGTTCGGAGCGGAATCCAGGTTTTGTAGAAGGGGAATTCCATCGCCGGTGAGCAGACAGCCGGATAGGGATTGCCTTTTCAGGTTTATTTTAAAATTTAAAAAAAATCACTTCAAAGCCGACCCACATCGATAGGAATGAGGGCTGAACCCAGAATCCATTTCGCTGCAGTCACATGAAGCCTATGCCATTGCTTTGTGTCGGTGCCGGCTGCAGGCTGCGAGAGGACCGCGTCCTTTGTCGGCGCTGCCAAGGCTCTGCTTCGGCGCGGCACTTCCCTGTACGCTCCACAGCCCTCTTTCATTTTTATTGTTGATGAGGGTTTTTAAATTTAGCGCTTTGGATCGCACTTTAGTACAGGGCGAGGCCAGGAAGGGAGGAGGAAGTAGCCAACCTCAACTAGGTCACTATCAACCGAGTGTAAAATTAAATATCTAGTAAGTGCGCATATTTTCTCGATACTATATTTATCCAGTATTTTTAGACGACAAAATTTCTGTTGCATGATCGGGCAATGCATATGTTTGCGCTAATTGGAAAGTATAAATATTTAGCCACGAATAAAATGGTTTTTCGTGAATAACTTATTTGTCTTGCATATTCTTTTTAGTTCATTTTGAGTGAAGTTAAATTTTGGCAGAAGTAACAATTTACATGTTGTATCCACTTCGCTGATTAGCTGTTGAGAACATACAATAACTCCCCGTCCTGTTGTTTTCAGTTACTTGTAAACATTGTAACTAAAATCCACGTGCTCTATTCATATTGCTGCTATCTTGGTGTCCTGACGTGACCTCTTACCCAGATTTAATTTGTGTTGCTGCTTAGAATCGCAATTTGTAAATCCCTCTCTTGACGTTGAGGCATGACGTAGAGAGCGTTGTAGATGATTTGGATTCTGTTATTAACTTTTTTTAATTGCGAGTGTGTTTAGCATTTATTTTGAGAAAAGGAACAGTAGGGAAAACACTTAAATTTATAATGCAACTTTCACAACCTCGGGATGTTTTGACATAATTTTGGAGGCAAAGGTGTACTTTTGAAGTTTATTATTGTACACTAAATTCTCTTTACCTGAGGGGATACATGGACTTCTCATGGGTAACAGAACTTGGATACTGCTATGTAACTCTCCCATGTACAATGAAAGACCTTGTGATCAAATGAGTCAATGACATTTAAAGAAGGCTCTAGGGCCAACCTTTACAAGTATGTGAATCTGTGGGTAGAGAATGAGCGGCTAATGAGGTGAAATTAATGTAAGCTGGTAGCAATTTGCATAGAAAGCATCTACAGTATAATGTTTTAAGGACATTGAGGCATAAACTTTATCTATTACTCCCTGGGTAATTCTGTCTTTCAGAATGCAGGCTGGATCATTGAATTTAATTAAGGCAGAGTTGGATGGATTTTTCATAGGAGAATTGGATGTTATGGAGGACACAGAAGAGTACAGTTGAGATCATAAACCAGGTCTTACTAATGCTGGAGCAGATTTAAACAAAAGCCAAACGGTCAACTTCAAAGTCCTATGCTCCGGTGAAAGTATTTTGAAAGCAGACATGTCAATTTAGTGTGTAATTTGAAGCAACACTTTCTAAGATGCAATACATCTTCACTGCTGTGCAAGAGGTTCTTGTCTAGTTTCTGTGCCCAAGTATCTGGAAGTGGATTTTTAACCTTCTGACAGACAGGAGTGCTGTCACTTGAACCAAGTTCTATGACTGTTTTAAATAAACAAAACTTCTTTTTATAAAGGATCTTATTTATAATAAAACATCCTGTCTTGCTTCATAAGCATGTTATAGAATACAATTCTACACCTAACCATTGAAGGATGTAATGTCTTAGAGGAGAGAAATTTGAGAGATTGGCATAATCTAGTTTATTCATTCATCATTAATTTAAACTGAATTTTGTTTCCTTCCAGATTTCTTCCCTTCAAGATTTTACTTGAGCTACTCAGCAGTATTTTGTAATTATTCTTATGTGAAACCAAAAAGTGTGTTGATGGGCTAATCACAGAAGAAAGGAATCATTGCCAAGCTTGATCCTATCCTACATAATGTCTTTACATCCTGTTTTCAGCATTGGATTGCTAAATAACAATCAGGAATAGGAACTTTTTGCTGCTGCTATCTGAATTGGAGCAGAGGAACCAGGAATGTACTTTCTGCTACTGCTATGACTTGTGGAGTCAGTATGTTGAATAGTGGTTTGAATGTTACATAGGTTCACTAAGTAGTGAGGATCAGTGCAAGGTTAAGGAATACAAAAGTACTGTACTTGAAGTTTGGTGATAGCATTTAACGTCACAAGAGTCATGCTTTTCTGTAGAATGGCTGAAGTCAGCTGTTTCATAAGCAGTGATGTAGTCTCTAGTGGAATAGTTACCTGTTTCTTAAACTTTAAGACACATGAAATTTGACTTGGAGAATGACGAGCCAAATATTTTTGGAAATTAAGTTGATCTGCTAATTTCCCTTAACTGCTGTTTCTTATGTTAAGTCACTGTTAATGACATTAAGTGATGAGAACCAGCAAATGGTATCTTGGCCGTATAGACACTTTTCTGTTTCCTACTTCAACTTTAAAAAAAAAAAAATGCTGGGGAAAGAGTTAACTTTGAGTCCAGTGACCTTTTGTCCTGACAAAATCACTGGACTCTGTGTCAACTGTTTTGCTCTCAACAGATGCTGTCAGATCTGCATGTCTCCAGCACTTTATTCTTGTTCCAGATTTCTAGCATCCACAGTTCTGTTTGATTACAGTTCAGAAATCCTATTTGAAAGGTGCATATGCAGTGGAAGAATACCTGAATCTGAGATTGAAATATCTCAGATCTGTAAAAGGTGTAAATGTGTTTCATTACCTATTGTAATTCTTCACTTCCAAAAAAACAGAACCGGAAGTGATGCCAACCATGCCAGCAAACTGAGGAATATAAATAACAAGTGGGACAGAATACCAACACTTCGTTGGAGGCGCACTGACGATGTTACGTAGCAGGGTGATGAAACATTTGCAATCAAACACATCGACTCAGCAAGCATGTCTGCAACCACAAAATTATGGAGAATTTAGATAAATGTGAGGTGCTGCATTTTGGAAAGGCAAATCATGGCAGGACTTATACACTTCAGGTTAAGCTCATGGGGAGTGTTGCTGTACAGAAATCTTGGAATGCAGGTTCATAGTTCCTTGAAAGTGGAGTCCCAGGTAGGGTAGTGAAGAAGGTATTTGGTATGCTTTCCTTTATTGGTCAGTGCATTGAGTATAGGAGTTGGGAGGTGATGTTGGTTAGGCTGCTTTTGGAATCCTGTGTTTAGTTCTGGTCTCCCCGATATAAGAAGCATGTTGTGAAACTTGAAAGGGTTCAGAAAAGATTTACAAGAATGTTGCCAGGATAGGAGGGTTTGAGCTATTGGGAGAGGCTGAATAGGCTTGGGATATTTTTCCCTGGAACATCAGAGGCTGAGGGGTGACCTTATAGAGGTTTATAAAATGAGGGGCATGGATAGGGTGAATAGCCAATGTCTTTTTTCTGATGTGGGAGATCCAAACTAAAGGGCATTGGTTTTAAGGTGAGAGGGGAAAGATCTAAAAGGGACGTAAGGGGCAACTTTTTCACGCAGAAGGTGGTGCGTGTATTAAATGAACTGCTGGAGGAAGTGGTGGAGGCTAGTACAATTATATTTAAAAGGCATCTGGATGGCTATATGAATAGGAAGGGTTAAGAGGGATATGGGCCAAATGCTGGCAAATGGGTCTAGGTTTATTTAGGATATCTGGTTAGCATGAAGAAGTTGGACCGAAGGGTCTGCTTCCATGCTGTACATCTGTATGATTCTATGACTCTAAATGAATGGGGATCCAACTTAGCGCTCCAGTGAAGTTTCTGCCTAATAATGAAAGAAAACTTGTAATGATAAGGTCAAATGTTTTTTTAAAAACATGAACAACGTGGTTATGAATTTCCTAATTGAAAAATATTTCAACAATTGGCTCTAAAAAGAATTAAGAGTAATCCATAAAATGTAATCGAGCAGGAAGTTAATAACTTGGTATGGGCAATTCGTGTCAAGGCGCACTCTGGTTAGAGGCTATAGTTGCTATCAGTTGGTCAGGATGAAGTTCTAAATTGCTTTCTGTACTGTGATATTTGCTTGCTTTTGAAGGCAAGCTTTATCGTGTACTTGAATGCTTTACAGTAGAACATGGTTTTCAACAAGGCTGTGATGTCAAAGTTGGAGAAGTCTGAGACATGATGAGCTCATCCAAGACAATTAGGAAATTTGGTGTATTATAGAGAAGATAATAGGAAATGGAAAGAAGCTAGTAAGGGTTGTGGTAAGACAGTATTTATTAACTGTAACAACCAAACAGTTAAAATTCATTCCTTGTTACTAATTGGAACTAATTATCAAGTATTAAAATGGAGACATCGTTAGTCAGTACTGTTGTTCTGTGAAGATCCTGAGGAACAGTATACAGTACCACTAACTAGCTGTTTATCATTCACATTAGATTATGACATACAGCTATCACATCCAAAGGCCAATTGCCGAGTGTGGGTGAATGGGTGGGACAGGTTCTAATGAGTTAAGGGATGCACACCAGTTGTGGGACATGCAAGAAAAGCTACTGGTAAGTTCCAGTAACTAATTGAATGTTTAGCATGGCCATGAGGAACTGTGCTTATCCATGGACTGGTAGAATGGGATGCAAAAATGCAACTGCTGGTGTGTCCAGAGTGAGCTGTGTCAGCAAACACATACTGCTGAAAGAACCTTCAAGTGAACAAGGGACTGATTTTTGCAGTAGTTCTTTTGGTTCTCTTTCAATTATAACTGGAGACTATTGAATAGATTAC